GCAGGGAGTTCTGTTTGGCTCAAATCCAGCAAAAATACTATGTAATATTTTATTTACGCATGAGATTATTTTGTTCAACATTCTGTTCCATTTAAAAAAAAGGAATGGATTTTATGAGGGGATTTGCAATGTTTGAATAGAAAAATAAAATTAATGCTTCAAAATACAAAATGCACATGAGAAGCAAACAGAGAGCCCACAGAGAATTCAACAATTATCAAGGTTAACGCTTGGTTTTTACATTTCGTACAGGGCAAAATACAGTATGAAAGATATCTTGTAGACTCTTGTCTTGAGCCAAGTGATACACGATTTGAGAAAGGTTCCGAATCCATTTTCTTGCCAGGATTTGAAATTTTTAGAATCCGCAAAGAAAGTCCGTACAGTATCCTGTTCCTGTTGAGGAAGACGTATACAACGTCAATTTTCCGCCATGAAACATTTCGTATTTGCTTTTTCAAGCACTACTTTCTCAGCGGATCCTCGAATCGATTCAATGATTATCAGATTGCCCCTCACTCGATTCACTGTAAACCCTCACGTATTTCCTTAACGCACAGGTCATATATCATGATGGGGATATCTTTTGAGGCCTCAATTTCGTAGACAGGTTCTCTTTTCTTCCGTCGTTCAATTCAACCTACTTTACATGGGGGGAAAATGTGAAAATTAGCATGTTATTGCCGGAGTAGAGCAGCTATACGTGCCCAGAAAAGCTTTTCGTGAAGCTCGCATTATTTCATGTCTTGCTACGCGGAAAGCGAAAGTTTTTGCGTCCCTGCTGAAAATCCAGTGCAGAAATCAGTTATTCCCTTCGCGAGAGCCCTTAATGCGATATACCGTGGCAACATGCTCCCGCACGTCGTGATTGCCCGAGCAACACGATGATGCTGGCCAGAGCGAAACAAGCAAAGAAACAAACAAACAAGGAACATTGCAAAGGGGAATAATGGTAATGATGATATAAAAAAAGAGAGCTGCTGAACAAGAACGGCAACGAAAAACACGAGCACATTCGGTACATGGACGAAGGAGGAATGAAAGGGGGTGGTGGGGGAACACAATGTGCTGTTTGTGTGTGTGTGTGTGTGTGTGTGTGTGTGTGGGAATAATCCGTCCTCTGCGGGTTCATTAGTGCAAATGGAATCCTAACGACACAGAGGAGCGACAATGATGACGAGTCGGCTCGCGATTAAGATAAGGGAATTACAAATTGAGGTCAGCCTCGAGGTGATGCTCGCACTTGACTCTCGGGACGGCGAAGTGCCCTATATAACACAGTAGTTATACTGGGAATGATTTCTCCTGCTCGTCGTGTGATATGCAGCAGGGAATCGAGGAGCAGCAGCAGCAGCAGCAGCAAGCAATTCCAACAGCCCAGTTTTGAGACTCGAGCTTGTCGTCCTGTCCTCAGAACTGTGCGATCGAGGCTGTTTTCTTGTGTGTGTACAATAAGTGTCTTAAATATTGCAAAGCTGCCCAAATCAGATATGTGACCAGCATCAAGGGCATAATTAAAGCTCATGTGGATATGTCAGGCTTCTTCGCTGAGTTTTGTGTGTTGTTACAAATATGAGTCGAGAAAGGAAGACAGTATATGTGCTGGGGGGGGGCAAAGTTGGGAATAATCCTGTCCATTTTCATAGAAAAACTTGATACTCAAAAAAGATAAAAAAGAACTTATCTTCAAGGTTCAGTTTTCCCCCTGGGCTTGTGTTGTTCCCCCCGTTTAAGGATCAATTTTAAGCTTGAAAGCCAGGACCCCAGGTCAGAGGTCACTAATATTGAAAGGTTAGAATTAGGAAAATCTCATTAGTTGTTCATCCCTGGATACAATTTTCCTTGGCCCTTCCCCTTGCTGAAGGACTTCCATAAGCTTGGGTGAACATGAAATGCAGGCCCAATTAAAAAAAGTCCAACTTTGCCTTAGAATGGAGAGGCACCCTCCACTGGACAAGGGTTAATATTTTTTCCTTGTGGCTGAGGTACATATTGCAGAGGTGTAGATTCCTTGTGTGCCACAATAGAACATATTTTTCCGAGGTTTCAAATTCTCCCCTTTTAAATAATGAAAACTGTTGACTTTAATTTGGTGCCATACATTGATTCGCAAGCGTAGCATTGTCAATTGTTTTTTATGGAGAAGAAACTTACATTTTTCAATGTATATTTTGAATAGTGGTGGCTGCCACCTTGAAAATTTTGTAGGGAAAGGATCGCGGGACAGACGAAAACTCTCTTTGGGCCAGATCTGGCCTGCTGCAGGTCACATTTTGGGCAGCACTGGAGTACAGAAAATGCAACATTGCCAAATCCGTCCATGGTCAAACCCCTTCAAGTCTAACTTGAAGTGACCAGCAACAAAATCTGAGTTAGGGAGGCTTTGAGCGCGGGAATCAATCATTTTTAGGGATAAAATGAAGAATTCCCATGGGGTTGTAATTGGTGATGCAGCATTCTGGTCAATAAATTGCTTCATAAATGAGTTGAAGGTTGCTGTTTTGAAAGCTAGGGTATATTTTCCGAAGTAGCGTCTGACTTCCTTTTAAAACACATGAAGATATCTTTCATTGCTTTTATCTGGCCTGGGTAAAAAAAAAAGAATAGCCAGAAGGTTCGTCAGAAAATTTTAGTTGTGTGTGGAGGTCTCAGAAGAAGAGCCTTAATATTTATTAAGGTTCGTTTTACTGCATTATTTCTTAGAGGATTCAGAAAATGACTTGAAAAAATGTAAAACACTGCGGTATTTTGATTATTCAGATTTCAAGCTATCCGGGCACAAATGTTAAAAAAAAAAGATTGAATGGGGGCAGACTTGCTCACATATTCCTCATCCACAAGCAAGATTATCTACCCAGAGGGTAATGTTGCTTTTCTTCGCCTTCTTTCAAATGCAGAATCCCTTGTTGTATGGTAACGAGCTGTATAAACACATGAAAGCAGGAAATGTCAAGGTCTTTCGCAATACAAGTTCACCTTTCTTTACTGAACATGTGGTGATATGCATGGAATTCCATTCACCAACGGTGGTTGCCACTTGCAACTCTTGCATGAAAACATTTGAAGTGCGACCATGGGGGAATTTTGCGGCCTGAGTTCGGTTTTATAAAAGAATCACGCGTGGACAAATACGCACTCTGGTGCGAAAGAGACCCGAACATTTGCCATTCAAACAACTTGCATGAGAAGCTGCTTTGGAATTCACGGGAGGTGGGTAAACATCATAAATACGTATATGCAGTACCTTGCTTGGAAATATTGTTCGGGATACTTGCAGAGAAAATTTGCGCTCGGCGAGTCCAACTTCCAGTACTGTACAACATTTCCATTTATCCAGAAAATTTCACTGAAGCTTATTCCAGAATCCTGTTTTTGACTGGCTGCTCCTTTTGGAAATTGCACAAAACTCACACAGAAATCTGTGATGGAGTGGTAAACCCCAGAATGGAATGGTTTATTTATTTTTTATAATAATCTAATGCGATGCAAGGCGGTTGTTCGACTAAATGCAGCAAATTCCACATTACTTTCACAGCTGCGAATATCAGTGCTGGAATTCCCAAAAACTTGAAAGGCAACACTTCGCGTATCATTTATTCACCAGAAGCAACAACGCACCAAATGCAACAACTCAAATGTATTCACACCTTTTAACGATATTGCTGAATGTCGTGGCTCTTCCCTATACGTTTTTTAAAAATTGAGGTTTGGTCTTCATCGCTGACAGAATTTACAGGATAACCTTTACATTCAGCAAAACTTGAGAAATTTTGGAAATGGCAGCATACTTTGGATGGAAAATAATTTGAAAATTATGTTTCAATTTTAAATACAATTTTTGAGCAGTAAAAGAATTGCTTTGTTTCAGCGTAACGTTTTTTCAACAACCACATAAAGATATCATCTAACATTATTAATTCAGTAGATCCGTGAAAAAAGGAATAAATGTTGCGAAACGTGCCTTCTGAGGTTTTTTTGTTTCTTTGAAAGATTGTAATAATATGGAATAATTTTTTTATTATTAAAATTCCCACTATTTCAACAATTTTTTTTTTAATTTTACCACTACTCCCTCGATCAGCGGGTAATGATGAGGAAAATCATTAGGACAATGTTTGAGTTGTTGCATTTTGTAAATTTTCACTGTGTTTTCTGTCCGGTAAACCCATGGCTCAAGAACTGATTGATTCAACATTTAAATCGTTGAACATTTGAAGTAAAAGGTGTCATGTGCTGATAATAGTTAGTGGAATTTATGTTTCAATATCCGCGTGTTCGTCGGATTCATTCATCTTTACTCGTTTTTGTAGCTGAATTTGCTCAAGACCGAGGTGTCGTCCCCGTCGTCCCCTGAGGGAAATAATCCAGGAAAGGAGCCGAGTTAACTGATGACAAGCATAGCATTAACAACTTTTGTTGATAAGGCGCTTAATTAAATTCAAACTTGAGGATACATGCAGCAGCCGCTAAAACGGAAGACCTGGCGTGTGTATACAGAGCAGTACTGTATTATACTCAAGTTACTGTATTTAGGAACTTGAGTTAACGACCACCCCTTACTATCACCAAGTGCGGCCGCGGAAGGAAATGTCGTCCACGTGTGCAACTGCTCTTGGTCGGAATCGACGAGGAAAAAGGAAATGGGCAGTTACTGTATTTAGGAACTTGAGTTAACGACCAGCCCTTACTATCACAAAGCGCGTCCGCGGAAGGAAATGTCGTCCACGTGTGCAACTGCTCTTGGTCGGAATCGACGAGGAAAAAGGAAATGGGCTAATGAAGTTCGTGGTGGATTTCATTTCATTATGCTCCTCCGAGAAGCTTCAGCAGCACCTTCAGTCTAAATATTCGAGCTGGGAGGAAAGTGGGTCGATTCATTCCGGGGCATTTTAGCATCAGCGATTGACTGCAGTGGGGCTCCGAGATGCGGACGCAATTTGTCCTTGGACCTTGTCTGTATGTTCAACCATGTTTTTCCAAAAAACTAAATGGGAACGTATTCAATTGGTTTTCCTGCGTTCATCAGAAATCAGGAATTCAGTCCCTAGAAATTGAATAAAAACATGTTTCTCAAATTCAAAGTACATGCAGAGAATAGCTGCAGAGAAGAGAACCATCCAAAATCTGATATTTTTGCATAAAAAGGAGCTCAAGAGGAAGCAAAGAAAATGAAAAAATTCAGCTGTACTCTGAGCAGCACATTATGAAAAAGACTTTAGAAATGATGCACAAGAAATTCCTATTTTAGATTGTGAGTTCAAGTACTGTAAGTACCAGAGGCATCCTTGCGCAAGGCACGCGTCCAGATGCTTTGGTGAGCATTTAAAAAGCAAAAACAAATTCTGTTTGAGACTCACACCCAGTTTTCTGTTGCAAATCAACAGTTGAGAAACACATTTCCCATTCCCTGATTTTTGCTTGAATGTACTCCCATGGGTGAGGGGCACTAGGTTTGGGGACTTATTCTTGAGAAAAGTGTATCCCAAATTACCACAGGCATCCTATTTTTCTTTTTAAATTTATTGAAAAAAGGTGCGCATTGGTACGTGAGTAAATAAAATAACTTTTTATTGATTCTTTTCATTTTCTTAGATATAAATAGCTCAATTTTTAAAAGAGATATCCACAATTTAATAAAATAACTAATTTAAAATGTTTTCCAGGAATTTTGGAAAATTTGCAGTATAACTTGAGGCATTTTCCAGACGTTGGGGCTTACTTTTGAGTTTTTTGTGTTCCTAAACCGAATTATACGTACACGTATGTTGGGCTCTTACTGTGTATATATATACAAAAATCCTGGCACAGCCAGTCGAATGACCACTGCATCAAAGGCCAAGTTAATGGAAAGAGACCCCGGGTCGGTCTCAGCCAGACGAAGAATAAGAATAAGTTGAGCGTATACTTCGTATAGTAGTGCGCATATTGCGTTCCAATAGCAGCATCAAGGATTTGAGCGTGTTTGTGGGCAGCTTTCGGATTTCCTCCCGAAGAACCCCGTGAGCTCACTCTGGCGAATAAATGCCCGGAAACAAATTGATCCCCGGGCCCGAATCCTCGGTAATTGAATCGGCTTTCTGCTCGCGTCAAGTGCTCCAACTTCTTCCAACTGCTTCTCGCCGGTGTAGGATGAGGGAAGAGAAGGCTTGCTAGTGTGGCTGGTGTGGAATACAGTCCAAAATGGAAGGAATCGAGAGGGGTAAAAATCCAGCACAATCCGTATATAATGAATGAGAATTCCCCAGCGGGTTGGAAGAACATTTCCAGAAGTAACTCATCTGCCGCTCTTTTCGAATAAAGTTTAAAAAATATTGTATAGTCAAACCCCTTCAACTTCAATCTCCCAATTCGAAGACCTCCATAACCCGAGTTGTTTTCTAGTCCCTGTCCAAATATGTTTCGTCGAAACAATGTAACCCGAATATCCTTCGAACTGAAAATTTTTCAGCTGTAAACCTCCATAAGTCAACATTTTCGAAGACGAGGAAGCTATAGGACAGGGTCTGAAAGTGGCGACACTTCTCGAAAGGAAAATGAGAAACTTTAATTGGTTCATCGAATTCTGACTTGAGGCTCTGCATCCTGTTAACTCATTTATCTTGAAGGTTCTTGTGGTTTGTTGTGTCAAGATAAGGAAAGAAATGCTTTTTGACTCACTTCACGCAGTTGAAGTAGTACGATTTAGCCCCGATTTATTTTGTAAAAATTCACACGAAGCCTTTTCATCCCCCTTTTTACAAACATCCGTATAACCTCTTCAAAGAAACCCCTGTATATGGCATTTTGTTGCTTTTCCGTTTAAACTCAAATCTGAGTGGTTCAACTGCAATATAAAAATACAAAGCTAGTTATCTTTTAAAAACGCCCCAAAAGCTTTATAAGTGGTTCGTAATATAATTCATAGAGTCAGTATTTGTAAGAATACTTTCTTTTTTGCTAAAGCAGGTGTTCAATGAAAATGGATAATGAATGCATGCGGAATTTTAATACGACTTTTAAAAATACCTAAAATGAAAATGGATACTCATAGGATAAGCTGAATTGGGTTTCATCATTGGTTTTCCCCCAAGAAGATGAACGAAGGATGATGCTTTTTATTAACAAGACTGGAGCTGTAATGTGAAAGAAACAGAACCTTTTTCTTCCATGTCAGCCTTTCTAAGGAAATTTCTATTTAAGGGTCGTCAATTTTCAAAAGTGATCCATTCAGCAAAGCAAGCAAGAGGGCGAAACCTCTTTCGTCGGGAATTATTATGACCCGGAAGATTTTATTTTTAAATATTTTGCCCAATATCTTAATCTCCACTGTACAGCAGTCATGCTTCAATTCCGTACGTGTGGTTATCATCATCCCCACTTTACTGCCTTGTGAAGGCGATTCCTGCTATATCTCGATAGGTATATACAAGAACATCACTTTCGTTTCTGTCCATGTTTTACCTTTGATTGAAAAAATAACAATTATTCAGGTAGACAAAAGAAGGAAAAGAGAGAGAAACATGAAAAAGAAAACCTCGAAGGGAGCCAACGGCATGCAGATATGACACGATGAGCGGGTGATGGGTCATGCGAGCAGGCAGGTGGCCTTGCACTTCACACACCGCAGCAGTCGCGTGGGACTGACTTGACTGGCTTTTATCAATTCCCAGCGTAGCGCTATTTCCAGAGAGCTCAAAAGAGAGAGAGAGAGAGAGAGAGAGAGAGCGAGAGAGAGAGCTTTTCTCGGTAGCAAGCGCTTATGCTGCTGCATTTTGGCAGAGAAAGAGAGAGAGAGAGAGGGGATAAAAATCCAGGAGGGGGGGCTTTTGTCCGAGGTCAACCCGAGTCACACGCGACGAAGCAGAACTCGGAAATGAAGCCCTGTTTCCAGCAGCAGCAGGCCCTGGTTCGTTCCTCGGCGGCGGCATTGTGCGGTAATGGATGCGAGCGGGAATTGGACTAACAATCTCGAGACCGCCCTCCGAGTAGCCGCTCGCTTTATTTTCATTTCCGGTGAACCTGAAGCCCTCGCTGCTGCTGCTTGTCGCATCGATCTTGCAAAAATTCCTCTCCTCCACTTTCCGGTTCCCCTTTTTTATTATTCTTATTCGCGCTATGCATTATTATACAGGATATAGCCCTGCACTTGAATTCTGTCTGCTAATTCTCTGTCGTTCTTGTCGTCTAATTGCAATCGTTACTATGCGCCCACTGTTGTCGTCGTCGTCGTCGAAGCCGGCGTGGTTAACGGCTTTTGCTGGTCCTATATAATCCAGTCATCGCAACGTAGCCCTATGGTTTCTACAATTACTCATTTTATTGGTTATCGGCCGAATCTGATTTCAATCAGGTTGAATAGTGAGGTGAGATCTGTTTAATCTTCATCGACTTGGAATGCTATCTGCTCGAGTACTCCGTGAAATAAAGAAATTGTTCGTTCAATTTTTAGTTTCAAAACTATTAATGTGCAGTATGCCTGAAAGGCATGAACGAAATCCTCGGACTATTTGTAGCGCTGAATGAAAAATTCCCAATTGCCTAAATTGTAATTCCGTACTTTACAGCGTGCTTTACTTCGTGAAAAGATAAATTCAATTTTCGAGGGCTTACATTTAAANGAATAAATGCCCGGAAACAAATTGATCCCCGGGCCCGAATCCTCGGTAATTGAATCGGCTTTCTGCTCGCGTCAAGTGCTCCAACTTCTTCCAACTGCTTCTCGCCGGTGTAGGATGAGGGAAGAGATAAGGCTTGCTAGTGTGGCTGGTGTGGAATACAGTCAAAAATGGAAGGAATCGAGAGGGGTAAAAATCCAGCACAATCCGTATATAATGAATGAGAATTCCCCAGCGGGTTGGAAGAACATTTCCAGAAGTAACTCATCTGCCGCTCTTTTCGAATAAAGTTTGAAAAATATTGTATAGTCAAACCCCTTCAACTTCAATCTCCCAATTCGAAGACCTCCATAACTCGAGTTGTTTTCTAGTCCCTGTCCAAATAAGTTTCGTTGAAACAATGTAACCCGAATATCCTTCGAACTGAAAATTTTTCAGCTGTAAACCTCCATAAGTCAACATTTTCGAAGACGAGGAAGCTAGGACAGGGTCTGAAAGTGGAGACACGTTTCGAAAGGAAAATGAGCAACTTCAATTGGTTCATCAAATTCTGACTCGAGGTTCTGCATCCTGTTAACTCATCCTGTTATCTTGAAGGTTCTTGTGGCTTCTTGTGTCAAGATAAGGAAGGAAATGCTTTTTGACTCACTTCACGCAGTTGGAGTAATACAATTTAGCCCCAATTTATTTTGTAAAAAAATTCACACGAAGCCTTTTCCTCTCCATTTTTACAAACATCTCTATAAACTCTTCAAAGGAACCTCTGTATAAAGGATTTCGTTGCTTGTCCGTTTAAACTCAAATCTGAGTGGTTCAACTGCAATATAAAAATACAAAGCTAGTTCTCTTTTAAAAACGCCCCAAAAGCTTTATAAGTGGTTCGTAATATAATTCATAGAGTCAGTATTTGTAAGAATACTTTCTTTTTTGCTAAAGCAGGTGTTCAATGAAAATGGATAATGAATGCATGCGGAATTTGAATACGACTTTTAAAAATACCTAAAATGAAAATGGATACTCATAGGATAAGCTGAATTTGGTTTCATCATTGGTTTTCCCCCAAGAAGATGAACGAAGGATGATGCTTTTTATTAACAAGACTTGAGCTGTAATGTGAAAGAAACAAAACCTTTTTCTTCCATGTCAGCCTTTCTAAGGAAATTTCTATTTAAGGGTAGTCAATTTTCAAAAGTGATCCATTCAGCAAAGCAAGCAATAGGGCGAAACCTCTTTCGTCGGGAATTATTATGACCCGGAAGATTTTATTTTTAAATATTTTGCCCAATATCTTAATCTCCACTGTACAGCAGTCATGCTTCAATTCCGTACGTGTGGTTTTCATCATCCCCACTTACTGCCTTGTGAAGGCGATTCCTGCTATATCTCGATAGGTATATACAAGAACATCACTTTCGTTTCTCTCCATGTTTTACCTTTGATTGAAAAAATTATTATTATTCAGGTAGACAAAAGAAGGAAAAGAGAGAGAAAAATGAAAAGAAAACCTCGAAGGGAGCCAACGGCATGCAGATATGACACGATGAGTGGGTGATGGGTCATGCGAGCAGGCAGGTGGCCTAATTATTCAGGTAGACAAAAGAAGGAAAAGAGAGAGAAACATGAAAAAGAAAACCTCGAAGGGAGCCAACGGCATGCAGATATGACACGATGAGCGGGTGATGGGTCATGCGAGCAGGCAGGTGGCCTTGCACTTCACACACCGCAGCAGTCGCGTGGGACTGACTTGACTGGCTTTTATCAATTCCCAGCGTAGCGCTATTTCCAGAGAGCTCAAAAGAGAGAGAGAGAGAGAGCTTTTCTCGGTAGCAAGCGCTTATGCTGCTGCATTTTGGCAGAGAAAGAGAGAGAGAGAGAGGGGATAAAAATCCAGGAGGGGGGGCTTTTGTCCGAGGTCAACCCGAGTCACACGCGACGAAGCAGAACTCGGAAATGAAGCCCTGTTTCCAGCAGCAGCAGGCCCTGGTTCGTTCCTCGGCGGCGGCATTGTGCGGTAATGGATGCGAGCGGGAATTGGACTAACAATCTCGAGACCGCCCTCCGAGTAGCCGCTCGCTTTATTTTCATTTCCGGTGAACCTGAAGCCCTCGCTGCTGCTGCTTGTCGCATCGATCTTGCAAAAATTCCTCTCCTCCACTTTCCGGATTCCCCTTTTTTATTATTCTTATTCGCGCTATGCATTATTATACAGGATATAGCCCTGCACTTGAATTCTGTCTGCTAATTCTCTGTCGTTCTTGTCGTCTAATTGCAATCGTTACTATGCGCCCACTGTTGTCGTCGTCGTCGTCGAAGCCGGCGTGGTTAACGGCTTTTGCTGGTCCTATATAATCCAGTCATCGCAACGTAGCCCTATGGTTTCTACAATTACTCATTTTATTGGTTATCGGCCGAATCTGATTTCAATCAGGTTGAATAGTGAGGTGAGATCTGTTTAATCTTCATCGACTTGGAATGCTATCTGCTCGAGTACTCCGTGAAATAAAGAAATTGTTCGTTCAATTTTTAGTTTCAAAACTATTAATGTGCAGTATGCCTGAAAGGCATGAACGAAATCCTCGACTATTTGTAGCACTGAATGAAAAATTCCCAACTGCCTGAATTGTATATTCCGTGCTTTACAGTGCTTTACTTCGTGAAAAAATAAATTCAATTTTCGAGGGCTTCAATTTAAAATATCACGTTTGTTCGTACGTCATATGCTATTGTGCGAAATATATGTGCCATGATTTTCATCATTTCACGGAAATACGAACAGTAGTCATAAGCATTTTTATTCGTGTATTTTTTGCGCCTTCGTCTTTTTATTTTGCCAAAATTTTGAATCGAAGTTGCACTCTTATACCCGAGTAATTGTGCTTACTGATAATTGGCATTGGAGATGTTATTTTCGCGGTGAAGCTCAAATGCCTATAAAACGCCTCAGCTTTATGTGTACATTTCTAAGTTGTTGGTTTTGGTGAAGTCAGTTGTTGCTCGTACAAAAGCCTCCATCAGATCTCTAAACAATCATGGACATTGTTTCACCCCACAAAGTATCATCTTCTTCTTGAGATAAACGTCTGAAGAAGAGCGCAGAAAGTGCTTGGCTTTTGCATGTAATTGCTCGACGTTCGGGTTTAATTAAACGCACTCTTCCGTGCAGTCAGGATCCCGTGGTGCATGTCTCTGCTTTCGCTGTTTCAAATGAAAAGAAAAGGGACGGGCAGAATCGCATCACACACACGTCACGAAGTCGGGTTAAAAGAAGAAGAAGATGCAGCTGTGCGAATGTAGCTGTCCCGGTGTCGGGTTTCATTTCCAGCGACGTGCCAGCGACGAGTGTAAGACCTTTGCAACTCTCGCGGAAATTAGATGCAAGCAGCAGGAATCTGAGGGTGGGGGTATTATACAAAGAAGAAAGAAAGAAAAAAATCCTTGAAGCGGAGCGAAATATAAATGCAGTGCAAGAATCGAGAGGAAGTCTGCGAAGACATTTTTTGCGCTACGTTCCCGAAAGCCGAAGCAAAACCGGAACTATAGATGTTTTTCGTTAGTTCACAGAAGTATTACAACCCAGGAAGCACTTGAAAAGTGTCGAGAAACGGCTCTGACGAATGGGTGGGCATACGTCCAATGCGTGAACCCATTCATTCTTAGAAAGCGATATTTTACATACACTGTATTTGTATTTTTTACACGGGACTGAAGCCAGTGCGTAACACCTCGTTTATACGAGAGTACGGTATACTAAGTTTGCATCAGCATCTTGAAGGAATGATTCAAATTAAATGGAAATACTCACATTCCATCGTCGACATTCGAGAACGAATATGATGTGCAACCGAAAGCATCAGATTTACAACTATTTTATAATGTTGCAAAAATAAACTTTACTTGAAGGAATGATTCAAATTAAATGGAAATACTCACATTCCATCGTCGACATTCGAGAACGAATATGATGTGCAACCGAAAGCATCAGATTTACAACTATTTTATAATGTTGCAAAAATAAACTTTCAGGAATTTAAGAAAAAGTATTTTATGCAGCAGGATTTTTTATAAATAGATTTTGAAAATTGAAACACCGAGAATATTTTCACAGCCGACCTGCCAACGACTAATTGGATCTCGGTTTTCTGGCATTTATGAATTTTTATCTTGGTTTGGAAAATGGTGATCTTCTGGAAAAAGTTAGCTCCCATAATGCATTCCATCAGATATAAAAATCTATTCATTCTGAGATGATGGTTAGTTGAACCACGTTTGTCATTGATAACTGCTTCCATTCATGCTATATCCTGTCAGGAAAATTTTGAATTAGGAATTTCAGACTGCGCCTGCCCTAATGCAGGCAGTACATTGCAATTTGACCTCTTGCAATTTGAGCATCCAACTCTTTGACAGTTGAATTTTCTGGGATGTCAACTTGAAATTCAAGCTCTGACACAGAATTCAGCCTGCAAAAAAAATTCAAATCGTCAAATGAAACTTAGAAAACATAGCATTTGACATAGTCTTGTATAACTTGAAGGAATGATTCAAATTAAATGGAAATACTCACATTCCATCGTCGACATTCGAGAACGAATATGATGTGCAACCGAAAGCATCAGATTTACAACTATTTTATAATGTTGCAAAAATAAACTTTTAGGAATTTAAGAAAAAGTATTTCATGCAGCAGGATTTTTTATAAATTAGATTTTGAAAATTGAAACACCGAGAATATTTTCACAGCCGACCTGCCAACGACTAATTGGATCTCGGTTTTCTGGCATTTATGAGATTTAATCTTTGTTTGGAAAATGGTGATCTTCTGAACAAAGTAAGCTTCCATCATGCATTCCATCAGTTATAAAAATCTATTCATTCCGAGATGATGGTTAGTTGAACCACGTTTGTCATTGATAACTGCTTCCATTCATACCATATCCTGTCAGGAAAATTTTGAATCAGGATTTTCAGACTGTGCCTGCCCTAATGTAGGCAGTACATTGCAATTTGACCTCTTGCAATTTGAGCATCCCACTATTTGACAGTTGAATTTTCTGGGATGTCAACTTGAAATTCAAGCTCTGACACAGAATTCAGCCTGCAAAAAAAATTCAAATCGTCAAATGAAACTTAGAAAACATAGCATTTGACATAGTCTTGTATATCGACTGCTTTGTAATTTGACCCTAGTCCAGCAAGAAATTTGGGTCATATTGCAGGGCATCACTTGCACTGTAGTAAGGAAACTGCTACATGGAGAATCTATTAATTTGGAATTGAGAAGTTTGTTGTAACAAGATTGTTCTAACATCTACTCTACAGGTTTTCTGCCAGTACTTGAGAAAAAAATGTGTTTCAGTATACTGTACTGAAACAAATCGTGCAACGGTATTTATTGTCAAAAGATTTTATTGTAATTGAGCATCCAGAAAATTAGCAAAAAAACGAGGAGGGTAGCATGAAAAACTCAAATAAAAAACGCAGAAAGAAGTGAATATTCGAAGAGCGATAATGACGACAGTCAATCTAAAATCAAAAAGCTAAATTACACAGAAACACTTTAGTACAGTACATCAACTGTCAAAAAAAATTTGCTGCTTTCTCTATAGTTGAAGACTGCACTGTATACAATCTTCTCCCGATGACGTCTTGGCGTAAATTATTCATAATGCACCACATGTGGGTAGAATTTCTCGAGAAGGACTCGCAGATTTGCCAGACGGAAGTGAAAATATCACCAGTATGTATAGCAGGAAATTGGACCGAGGGCATGGGTTGACTCAGGAACATGGAATCGAAAGAAAGAGACCCTGAAAATGGCAGAAAATGTCGGCATCGACATGAGATTCCGCGGTGTGACCCGACAGGGTGACTCTCTTGGCATTCGCTCCTCGCGTCAGTCTTGATTTCGCGAGAACAGGGACGTCGCATTTTTTATTTATTTTTTAATTTTTTTTTGCGCGACGTGCAACCAACGACTGGATAAAAGTGGCGAATGGGAAAAGAAGCTCCGACGACGAAATTCCTTCTTCTTCTTCTTCCCTTTTCACAAGCTCACCTGGGAACCCAGCAGCTGCCTCGGAAATTTCAAGAACACCTGCGTAAGCTGGAAACGAGGTTCTTGTTTGGCGACTGGCTGAGAATGCTCGAGATTCCTCGAAGATCACTGAACCTTTTTGTGCGATGCTTGCTCCCATGCAGAGATGGGTGACCTTGCCAATCCTTTCAGTTATTCCCACTCGATCTCTGCTGTTGCCCGGCTTTGTGTACTGCAAAACTCCTGTATTATACATGCGAATACCCGGGATTACACAACAACTCGCACAGCAACAACTCACACAGTGACAACTCACATAGCGACAACTCACACAGTGCGACAACTCACATAGTGCGACAACTCACAAAGTTCTTTTTTTTTTTTTTTACTTATTTTTCTTTTTTTTAATTCAGGTTCTGGCAAAAATG